TCCCTCACAGACCCCTTGTTCTCCCCCCAAGACTGCTTGTCCCCCCATCCTGACTTATCTTAGATTAGGTAGTCATTTTAAAGGTGATCTTCCCTCCCCAGTAACCGTCCAAATGACTGCACTTAGTCTCAGCAGCAATCAACAGGATGTCAGTCAATATGATGAATTAAAGTAGCCTGGAAAAAACAACTTACAGTATCGTCTGTCCAGCTTATTTCTGCAACTTCTTAATAGATACTTATATTTCACCAGTGTAAACAACATTTAATGAAGAACCAGGCACTACTTTGATGAGCCTTGTACAGTATGGATAAAGAAATAGATTGTGCTGTAAAGAACTCTCAGGCAAAAGGATTTGATGATTTTAGTTATTTACAGAAGTGTACAAAAAATATGATTTTGGATTGCAGTCTTTAAGTTGCTATTTACTTACCTGACAAATATATATTAAAAATGAAACACCTATCATATATAATTGATTCAAAAGCTTGATCCTTTATTATGTAGTAAAAAAAATTACTGTTGTCTTTTAAATCTATGCCTCTAGATGCTCAATACCCTCTTTGGTACCTAGGGATGCGGAAAGTAACATTTAGCCTCCTTAAGACTTGTTATTACTGTTACCCTAGTAAGATAACTTAGTCTTTTCTCCAAATGTCAATAGCTGGGCATCCTTGCAGTTTATACTTATTCTTAGTGGTTTCAAAAAATGTCTGCATTAAAGGTCTATTTTTGTTCATTTCTAAGGTAAAAAAAGGGAATTCAGAAATAGTAAAGCTAATGTGAATTAGAAATGCTTCATACTTTTGAAATTTGAAATGTATTACAGTTCACCTTATTAAACAATAAAACAAAACCCTCTCAAAATTTTTCATGAAATTTTTACTTGATATTTTCCCATTTACACAAAATATGCACAATTTTGATGTTTCGCAGTCACGGGACTGCAATTCTTTAGCTAGTATTTTTCTAATGAAAATCAGCACTTATAATTAGCATCATGATGTAAGTTAATGTAGTGGTGTTTTTACTTGTTGCATGATTAAAGCAGGCTTTTGCTGAGTACTTAAATAATAGAAAAATGAGTTAATCTTCCAAAGATATAAGTTTTCAGTTAGCTCAAATACAAATCAAGGTCAGGTCACAATAACATTTATATTCGTCACATTTTTCAATGACACAGTGACTGCCTCCCTCCTTTTTATATCACAGCTGTTTCTTTTACCTTCTTTCGATTTACCATTTCATCCGCATTAGAGTCACTATTATTAATTAATACAGAAGAAGATTGCATTAGAAAACCAAAGCAGCTGCCAAATCTTAATAGGTCATAAGCATGTAGTGCTTATAGTGGAACACCTCAGGGTCTGTATGTATGGATGCCCATTTTATAATTAGGTGAGCCATACTTGAATTCTCTCTCTCACTCAGTATGTGTTACTTCTTTGAACTGTGTCAAAGAAAAATCTTAAGTTTGGTGCTGCCATTACAGGGAGTTGAAACTACAGACAGGCCCCTAGTATGTGCCCTCTGGGTGACCTGGAGGCTTGTCAATCACAGAGCATGAGGTAAACGCATGCTCAGTTCACTGACTGCATGATGTAATTTGACTAGAAACTTCTCTGTGAAGAGCGTTCTGATTGGCCACTAAATTCTTATAAAAGGTTGGTGAGACGCCACGGGTGCGTGTTTTGGAGAAGAGACTGTGCTTGATCCTGTGAGCAGCCTTTGCAGGGACTGTCTCACAGGGAGAGAATGATCCTGTGAGCAGAGGCTGCGGAGGGCAGGCACTGTGAGGTGCAAGCGGATGGCGGCTGGAGCGACTCGTCTTTTCGATCTCGGTTACGGGACTGTTTGGCTTCGATTTTGACTTCGGCTTACTTCGTTCTGGCTTCTCATCTCCAACCTTGGCTTATGGACTGTCTTTTGGACTGGCGTCACGACCCCATTCCTCAGTTCACTATGTTACAGTTTTTGTTGTTTGTTATCCCATTCATGAGCTGTTGACCAGCCCTGGGACTAGCTAGTGGGCAGCCGCACCTATCCCTCAGGGGGTAGAAAGCAAGGGCTCGCTAGTGAACCCCGTGGGCCAACAGACCCCTTTGTTGTTCGTTATACTGTAACTGAAGAAATATCTGAGCCTCCGCTTCCCAAGCGTGAGTAAATAAATCATCTTTGTTTAAACTTCCCGTACAGCTCACACTCCACCGCCACTAATCCCACCTGTTCGTATTCTAATTGCCACCCCGGCCCACCGTGACCTTGGGGCCCGATTCACTCGATGTTCGGTTACCCTGACAAACTGTAATTCAAATTGAATTACTACTGTTCTGACTGCTAAACCAATGCTTTTTATTGCTAACAAGAAGCATTTATAAGGAAAAATAGTAATACACTATTTTGATCAAGAAATTCTAGATTCATTTTTCATTTATTTTCATCTGGCAACTTTTAAAATTGCCTGTGGTACCTACAAAAAGCCTGAAGTGAAATTAATAAAATATTTAATTGTCAAACACAACAGCAATTTTGTTGCACTTAGCATTGTTGCTAAGTAGTTAAGATTAATGTCTTATCTTTGCTCTGTGGTCTACACTCTAGCAGAAGTGGCATAAAAGCAACATACAGCAGAAGGATTAAAAAAACCCAGATGTAATGACATTAGCATTTTTCAAACAATATTTTAAACAATTTCCATTTAGAAAGTAAATTGAGATAATTGATAGAAATGCTCAGCATTACTGAACAATTGTTTAATCACTGGTTTAATTTCTAGGAAAAAGTGCGTAATACATAAAACATATGTTTGTGCTTTCAACAACCATAACAATGGTATTTCCTATAACTGGCTATTGCATCAATAATGACATAGGTTTTCTCTTTCATAGTAAAAACATAGGGGTATAAAGGAAGGGTAATGTTAATTTTCCAGCTTTGCCACATACTTTTTGTGTGATCTGTCCAAGTCAGTTAGGGCTAAGCACCTCAAATTGTGATCCAACATAACAGGAATAGAGAGGTAACTAGAAATAGCCACTAAGAAAATACTGAGGAAATGGGGATTTCTTAAAAACTGCCCCTCTCCAGGGCAGAGGCACCTTCCTCAAAGCTGCATGAATATCCCTCCAGCCCAGAACTTGTGAAAATAGGAACCTATGTCCTATCTTTTAAAGAATTGACCAGGGGTTGCTCTTTTTTTTGTAAATCTTAACCAGAGGTGCAGCTGGTATTGTCTTGATCCTTGTTTTTACTGTAGCCTAGCAGTTAGAGCACTCAAGCAGGACACAGGAGATCCAGCTTCATTTCCTTCTCTGAGCGGTTTCACACATCCCAGCCCCAGGAAAGTTCCCAAGCCACTAAGGTCTTCTGGAGTCAAATGGGAGGGGACACTCTACCACTCCTGTGGACCTGTGCTACAGTTCAGAACAAAAATTCCAAATTCATTGGACCACTAGGTTTTGAATACAGGTTAGGTCAGGGGTGGGCAATTATTTGGGCCTGCAGGCCACATAGGAAGTTTTGCTGAACTCTCACAGGCTGGGTCAGCACCCCCACTTCCCCCACAGCTCACCCAAACTCCCTATGTGGGATGGGGCGAAGGGCAGGTGGGCAGGCTGGTGGGAAGCAGGATGAGTGGACGAGGCCAGGATCACAGGACGGGGTCTCAGAATGGTCACAGTGCAGGACTCCCTGCATGTCCCTGCCTGCAAAACTGGTGCTCTGCCCCAGCTGTCATGGCCCCGTGATCCCCGGATCTCCGTGGAGACTGGCTGGGAGCAACATGGGCAGAACACCCAGAGGGTGGGGAGCTGCATTCAGGGCCAGAGCCAGGATTGTGAGGAGGTGCCAGCAGCGGCTAGGACCAGGGCAGAGCTATAATCTTTGCCCTGCGCCACCCTGCCTGCAGGACCCATGCTGATTACAGGGGCATGCAGGGAGCAAATTGTAACTCTGCCCAGGGCCCCAGCCCTGCGCTGTCGCTGCCGCAAGATCTTGGGTCTCCCTGGCCTCACCCACCCATCTTGCTCCTGGATGCTGCTCCCTGCCAGTCCGCAGCCCCAGCCCAGCTGCCCAGCCAAATGCTCTGCCCACACGGGTCCCACCTCTGCCAGTGGGTGCAGGGTGGATGGGCTGAGCTGCCCAGAAACGGAGTCCAGCTGCCACATTGCCCTGGCCTTGCTGCAAGCTCAGGGGCAGTAGAGCTGGTCGCATGTGCCACAGCCAGCGCTGCCCCTTGCACCTGGGGCAAGAAGGACTGAGGGACCTGCTGCAGGCTAGGCAAAAATCTTTCTGCAGGCCCATGAATGACGCGTGCCTCCAGGGGCTGGGGGGCATGGTGGCGCTAAGCCGGGAGCTCCTGCAGGCACCAGCAGCAGGGCAGGGGAGGGGGTGGTGAGCCCTGGTCGCCGCCCACCCGCTGCCTGCTGGAGGTGGAGGTGCACACACACCTGCAGGCACCCTACACCCGCTGCGTGTCGCCAGTATGCAAGGCCACGGGCCGTAGCTTGCCCACACCTGGGTTTGGTCTTCTAAGCACCTAACTGTTCCTTGGCCTTCAGAGGGAATTGCATTTCAGTGCAGAAAACAATATGTACCGACACTGGGAGGCCACTGAGGTAGGGAGAGGTGGTCAGGCCTGTTACTGGGAGACTAAATAAGAGAGGGAGATGGGGACGGAGCACAAGCTGTGATGAACACAAGCCGGCTCCACCCAGCACTGCGAGCGGAGACGCCGCTCAAGAGACAAGCCCGCGGGACGGCGGGTCCCACCGGCTAGCTCAGATGAGGACACCGGAGCCCGCGGGAAGGGAAACGAAGCAGCTGTCCTTGCTGCGGGCGCACGTCGAAGCGCAGCACTCGGCCCTGCCCGGCATCCACTACAGGAATCACGTGCCCGGGCCGGGGCCGCCGCTGGACTAACACCGCCGCGGGGGAGGGGCTCCTCGCAGCCCCGCCCCCTCCCGGCGGTGACGACACGGCGCACGCAGGCCGCACTCTCCCTCTCCTCCAATGAGGGCTGCCGTGGCGGCTCGCGCGGGTGACGCCAGGGGGCGGGGCAGGAGGCAAGATGGCGAAGGTCTCGGAGATGTACGATGTCACTTGGGAAGGTAATAGCGGCACCCGCCCCTCGCGACCCGTCCCCTTCCTCCTCGCGTCTTGGCGCGCATCCCCGAGGTGAGGTGCGAGCCTCCGCGCCTTCTCCTGCAGCGCTGCCGAGACGGGGGTTTCTCGGGGTGACCCCTGTTACCGGGCCGAGCGTGGCCCTCCCGCGTCCTGCGCTGCGGAGCTGGCCTGACTTGATCCCGGTTCGGTACCCGCTCCAGTGACGGATGTTGCCCCAAGACATACTCGCCTTGCGCTGTCTCTGGACCGGCTCTTTTATGCTACCACGTGTCTATGGCATGAACTTCCTGGGCTGGTGCTCCTCGCTTTATCAGATGCTAAAGCTCTGCTGTGGGTGTGTTGCACACACGTGTGGTTAGTCTGTACACTGCAAATCTACCCCACCTGCTACCTGACTTAAGACTAGCACTATATGTCTCTGATTCAGAGGTTGCCAGGCATGATATTAGTAGTGTAGCTCCCTCCAATGCCATTGGTACCGAAACTGATGTGCTCCTGGTCACATACACTCCCTCCAAACTTCTCCAGAGACCACTTTGTTTCTGTTTCTGATTGTGACATCTCTGCAGACCGCACTTCTCATGATAACTCCTTCCCAAACTTCCTCATGCGTGCTCTTAGTTGCAATGTTTCAAGCATTCATAACTACAGTTCACATTGTTATGAGACCTGCAAGGTGTCTGGGCTTGGTGCTGACAAATGCAAACTTCATTTTCCAACCCCTCCCCCAGCTGTGCAGAAATGTATGACTCCATTGTCCAGTAAATTGGGATTAGTCTACATATAGCCAGTAATTCAAATAATTTAGTGATATAGTTTTTCACACAGTTGTGCTGGGCAGGGGAGACGCATCCTGTGTGCCAGTATATCTTATTTTGTTTGGGGAGCATGTATAAGCCATGTTTGCAAAAAGAACAATTTTGCCAGTATAAACTGCAGCTACTTGGGGGCGGGGGGTGTTGAGATAAGTATGATAATAAACCCTTTTTACTGTGCACAAGGCCTCAGAAATGGCCAAACAGCTTTAACTCAAACCATCAAATACGTCCCCTCTATGCGGCCAAGTGATGCTTCCCCTCTCTGCGGCATTGGTCAGGCCACAGCTGGAGTACTGCGTCCAGTTTTGGGCACCACACTTTGGGAGGGATGTGGATAGCCTGGAGAGGGTTCAGAGGAGGGCCTGATTAAAGGCGCACAGAAAAAACCCTATGTGGGAGATCTGAATCCCTTCAGCCTCCACAAGAGGAGGCTGAGAGGTGATCTCGTGGCCACCTACAAACTCATCAGGGGGACCAAGCAAGAAATAGAGGATACAGTGTTTACTAGGGTGCCTGTCTGGGTAACTAGAAATAATGGCCACAAACTGAAAGAGAGCAAATTCAGATTGGACATTAGGAAAAAATTCTTTACAGTGAGGGTTGCCAAAATATGGAATAAGTTTCTAAGGGAGGTGGTGCTGTCCCCTTCCATGGATGTGTTAAAAAGGAGATTGGACAGACACCTGGCTGGGATCATCTGACCCCAGCACTCATTCCTGCCCAGGGCAGGGGGTTGGACTCGATCATCAAATAGGTCCCTTCCGACCTTAACATCTATGAAATAAAAGAAAAAGAGATGAAACGTTTCAACCCACCAAAAAAAACAAAATGAAGAAACTAATACCAGGATATTATTTGTCATTCTGATAAGAACAGAAAATTATGTGGAAACTTCAGAAGCTCCTACCTGAATTAGGAGCGTAAGTTTGAAAGGGGCTATGCTTCTAAGTTTAAGTGAACATTTCATCTTGTACATTTGTATCTTCTAGGACCAAGGTTCACTCTTTTTAATAGAAAATGCATGTACAATAATACTTTGGGCATTTTCATTTAGCCTTGCAGCTTCTTATCTAGAAATTCACCAGAAGCAATATGTCCTATTTAGGCCAGAACTAAGCTTGAGTTGTCATTAAAGTCTGTTGTTCTGGCTTGAGAAGTAAGAGCTAAAGCTGAGTTGGACAACAAACAAGATGATGTGCAGTACTTAAGATTATGCATTGGCAGACACCATACACTCTTGGTAAATCGTTTTTTACCTTTGTTAAGAGTAGGATGCTCCGAAGAAATAATGCTGACTTTCCTGAAGCAAACAATTTAAAAAGAAGACATAAAGGAAGTGTTCCTTGAACATGGGGGTCTGTTCATTTTTGCTTGGCTTGCTTTTGGATTGCAGGGAAGGGGAAGAAATGTAGGAAAAGGAGAGATGCTGTAACTTTCCCTCACTAACTTGTGTGAGAGGCAAGGATTTCTTAGGGTGGTATCTTGTACCAACTGTATGGTAGCCTTAGACAAGCTTTCAAATGCAAGGCGTTCATCACATTTGTGTGTGGCGCCTGTGTGTTCTACCTTCTTTACTGTTACTTGGTTGAGTATTCAAACTGAATCGCTGATATTTTGTCAGGTTGTTAAAGGAATGCTCATCAGCCTGAAACTACTATATTCACTGAAATCCAAGATAACTTTTAATTTAAGATGACTCCCCAATATTTAGGTAAATAGATTCATTTGTTACAATTTTCTATGCATAGAATCTAATTATTGGAGGGATGTTTTAAATTGACATTCCTCCCCACCTCCCCTGAACCCCTCCTCCGTATGAGAGAAAACAAGGGGGTGGCCAGACACCTGTCCCTTTCTCCTCCCCCACCATGCCTATGCCTGCCTCCCTGCTTCCTGTCCTTGGTGCCTGCCTGCCACCTGCCTCCCTGCTGCTTGCCCCAGTATGCCTGTGTCACCCCCTGCCATGTGCCCGCTGTGCCTGTCTCCCCACCCCAGCGACCTGCCTCATGTCTCTTGCCCACTTGCTTGCATTCTGCAGTGGCTTTGGGTGCAGAGCAATCAGCAACAGCCCTGGCGTAGCCCAGCCAGGAAGAATCAGCATCATTGGTTGGGGCTGGAGCCAGACCTAGAGCTGAAGGTGAGTGGCTTGGGGAGAGGTGGGGGGGGAGGCGCAGGCTGTGTGGTCTCCCTCGCGCTTCCCCCTCCTCCATCCCACTGTGTGGTCTCCCCCAGGTACCCACACCTCTACTGGGTGATCTCCCCCTTACCTGCCACACTGTGTTCCCTTCCCTACCATATTAGTCACCCTGGCGTGGGGCAGGTGGCTACTGTGGCTCTGGCCCCAGCCCCAAGCCCAAAACTGAGGCTATGACAGCTGCCTGCCCCAGCTGTACTCGAAACTAAGCCATGGCTCCCCCCATATTGATTGTGGGGACAGGGGACTTTGTCTTAGATTCCAGTGAGTATGGTACATTCCTATAAGAAAAGTTTGTCTACATTAATACAAGTAACAACTAAGATTATGTGGGTTTGATTTATGCGAATTTGCTCTCATGTGATGACCCTTGTATACCTGAAATTCATTATATGCGAGGTAAATTTGCATATATGTGATTGGCATAGGCATGCTCTGCCCTCCCCCAAGCAGGTAAGTCTGAGTTTGTGAGGGGAGGGGAAAGGGCCATGAGTGGAGGGGAGGGGTGAAAGAAGGGAAAAAGGCCATGGGACCAGACCCCGCTCACCCGCCCCTGGAGAGCCTGGTGCTGCTGCTGGCCTGAGTCTGTAGTGGCCACCAGCCCCAGCTTGCTCTCGTCCGGCTGCAGGCGGCTGCTCACCCCTGCTGCAGCTGCTCTGGGAGCAGCCAGTGCAAGCGACTTGCAGCCACTGGGCTGTGCTGTGCCCAAAACTCCCCGGGCTCTGCTTTCCCTGGGCCACTATGCCCTGAACCACCTGATGTGGTGCAGCCCAGTGGCTGCAAGCAAGTGGCATGCACCACTCCCAGGGCTGCAGCACGGGCGGACAGCTGCCTGCAGCTGGATGAGAGCAGGCTGGGACTGGCGGCCGCTGGAGACTCGGCAGCCCCACTCACCCCCCCACCACAAGTGCTGGGAAGAACCTGGTGCGACCTACTCTCGTCTGGCTGCAGGCAGCTTCCTGCCCCTGCTGCAGCCCTGGGAGCAGCCAACACCATCTGCTTGCAGCTACTGGGCTCTGCCATGCTGTGGGGTTCGGGGCACAGTGCCCCGGGGAAGCAAAGCCCCATGGAGTTTGGGGGATGGTGTAGCCTAGTGGCTGCAAGCAGGCAGCATCCGCTGCTCCCAGGGCTGCAGCAGGAGTGGGCAGCCACCTGCAGTGGGATGATAGCAGGCTGGGAATGGCGGCTGCTGCAGGCTTGGGCTGGCAGAGCACCAGGCTCTTCCCGGCACTTGGGTTGGGGTGAGGGACTGCCACCCACTCTGAACGCCATGAAGAGGTTGGTGCTGCCCCTGCTGCGCTATACCCCTCTCCCTGCCCCTTCCCTAGCCCCAGCCTCACTCCCTCCCTGTCTCCTTCACTGCCCTGGGAATGCATCCCTATCTGTTTCATTGTAAATTGGGTTCGCTTTATGTGAATTTGATTTATGCACTGTTCCCTGGGAATGCATCTACTGCATAAATCAAGGGAAACCTGTAATTGAAAGGTGAAAGAGTTGAATTTCTTTAGTTCATGTAATACTTTTGACATCACATTGTATACATCTGATTTTACTGTTTTATTTATAATCAGTCACATTCCCACTAGCATGATGCAACTATTTAAATGCATCAGCGGCTGTGGAGCAGAAATTGAACAGGCAGCAGGAAGGCAGCTGCACACAGGGAAGGGGAAAATGTGAAGACATACATTGATAGTGTTACTCATATACCCAGCCAGAAGACCCTGCTGATTATCAATATAGGAGTGTCTTACAAAAGTCTTTAAAACGTCATGTCATGCTTTTGAAGTAGTGCACTATCAGAAAGTGAAATGAAATTTTGAAAAGGCCAGGTTGATAGATTTCTTATAAATAAAAAAACCAGTACATTATGTAGACAAGAATTCAGGAAAAAAATCCTTAAAATATAAAAACAAACATGCTTGCATTTGCCTTGAAAGAATTTTGGTGTCAGGCACTTTAACTTCTCCCC